TGTGGCTGTTTTTCAAAAGTCCAAATTTTAGGGAACTGGTGCAGCATGGATCCATGCTGATCCTCTGGGGGAGGGTCTTGCCATGCTGCAGCTGGTTCTGGCTTGTCCCAGAAAAGCAGTTGCAGGATCGCACAGAGGCTCAGAATTTATGATAAAGTGCAGCAAAAAACAAGGCACCAAGGCTTGCTGCCCTCAGCAGATGTCTCTGTTCCTATGCTAATGAATGAGGCAGCATGTTGGCACCCTCCAACTCTTTTGTCCCCTGAGAGGCTGTGCCACCTCTCCCAAATGCACTCCAAGAAGGGGAATTGTCTTTCCTAGTGTGACCCAGGGGATCCTCAGACCCCACTGTCTGCTCCTAGGCCTCTGCCTTCCTTTCCAACAGGAGAACTGCTATGCCTGCCAGGCTCCATCTGGCAGTGGCATGGACTTCTAAAACTTCACACTTTGAGCTCTGCTGCTTGTAAAAACTTGTGATAATCAGCTGTTCCAGTTTTCCCAGGCAGTGGTTTTGGGGAAGTGTTTCTGTTGTGAAGTCCCCTGTGTGCTGCTTTCTCTCTGTTTATCTGACTCTATTCTGTCTCCAAGATCAAGGCTCCCTCCCCTTCAGAGCACCCATGATTCTTTTCTCCCCAGAATCATGTCTCTGCACCTACCACCTTCCACAATGTGGTTTCTTTTCTCACTCTAGTTCTACAGTTTATTCTCTCAGGATTCAGATTGATTTCTTGGGTGTTTGGAATGATTTGATATCTGTCTAGCTTTTTGAGGATAAGAGAAGCATAGGGTCCCCCTATTGAGCCACAATCTTAAATCCTCTCCTATCTCTGCTTTTCTCTGATGGGTCTGGTTAGAGTTTTATTAATTTTATTGATCTCAGGAACTAGGTTCTGATTATATAGATTTTTCTCTAAATCTTTCTCTTTTAATGATTTATACTCTGATATTTATTATCTTCTTACTCTGAGATTATTTACTCTTCTTTTTCTAGTTTCTTAAAGTAGAGGTTGAACTTATTAATTTTATATATATCTTCTTTTCTAATATAGGTGTTCAGTGCTCTAAATTTCCTTCCAGGTACTACTTTAGTGACCTTCTACCAATTTTTGTATGTTTTGTTTCATTTCCATCCAGTTCAAATTACTTTCTAATTTCCCTTTTGATTTATTTGATCCTTGGGTATTTTAGAAGTGCTTATTTACCACACATTTGGAGAATTTCCAATTACCTAATTTAATTTAAGAGTGACCAGAGAATATACTTGGTAAAACTTGAATCTTTTTAAATTATTAAGATGGTTTTATGGCTAGAATGTCTAGCCTTGTAGATATTCTGTATGTACCAGAAGAGAGTATGTATTCTGCTGTTGTTGGGTGAAATTTTGTCAATATGGTCAATTAGGTCAAGTTGGCTGATAAAATTATTCAAGTCTTCTATATTCTTGCTGATTTTATTTTTTAAAATATTTTAAACCTTTATTTATTTTTGAGAGAGAGAGAGAGAGAGACAGAGACAGAGACAGAGACAGAGACAGAGTGTGAGTGGGGTAGGAACAGAGAGAGAAGGAGACACAGAATCCGAAGCAGGCTCCAGACTCTGAGCTGTCAGCACAGAGCCCGACCTGGGACTCAAACTCATGAACCGTGAGATCATGAATGGAGCCAAAGTCAGACACTTAACCAAGTGAGCCACCCAGGTGCCCCTATTCTTTCTGATTTTCTATCCATTTATTCAATAAATTACTGAGAGATGAAAATAGAAATCTCTAATTATGATTGTGGATTTGTCTATTTCTCTTTACAGTTATGATTTTTGCTTTATATATTTCAAAATTCTGTTATTAGGGTACATAACATTTGGGATTATTTCCTCTTGAAGATTTAGCACCTTTATCGTTATAAAGTGACCTTCTATATCTATATTCATATTCTTGCTCTGACATCTATTTTGTTGTTAATGTAGCAATTCCAAATTTCTCTTGGCTGGTTGTAGGGTAGTATATCTTTTCCATTCTTTTATCTCTATATTTAAAGTGAATTTCTTGGAAGTGGCCAACAGTTGGGTCTTGATTTTTTTATCCAATTCCTGATAATCTCTCTTTTAATTGGTACATTTAGATTATATTTAACATGATTAATAATATGATTAAAGTGTATCATCATGTTTTTTTATTTGTGCCTTCTCTTCTTTATCCTTTCCCCTTCATTTTATGCTTTATTTTGAATTGATTGAATATTTAAAAATATTTCATTTTATCTTTTCTTTTTGCTGTTACATTTTTTGGCTATAGTTGTGTTTTGTGAATTTAGTGATCGTTATATACTAACTTCAAGTGATACTGCTTAACATAAACTATAAGAAACTATAAGAAAATTACAGTAGTATAATTCCATTTCTCAACTCCTGGCCTTGGCATCTTCCCCTGAAACTCATCACTTGGAGCTGGATGACCCTCCTCTAGGCATTCTGGCAGTCCCCAGATCCTGTGAGAGAGCACATCCCACATGGTAATGTCTTCACCTTTTTGTACCATGTATATGGTAACCCCAAGTAATGCTATAAGAGGTTGGTTGAAAAGCTCAAGAAGATAGGGACAGGAGGTAATCAGAGAGGTGGAGATTAGACATCTGATGATATCTCCTGGTCAGGGGCTAGCGTGGAAAAGGTAAGAGCTAATATAGCGGGTCAGAGCTCACAAAAGCACTTGCCATTTGAGGATCTAGAGTATTTCCTGTAGACCTTTGGCTTTATTCTGCAAGCCATGGTAAACCAATTTGAAAGAAGGAATCTATCTGTCTGTCTGCATATCTGCTACCCTATCTTTCTAGATAGATCAGCCTAGATAGATTTATCTTCCTAGAAGATAGGTAAATATAAAGATAGATAAAGTGTCTTCTTTCTATATATCTATCTATATAACTGTATCTGTCTATATATACCTATCTATAAAATAGATAGAATAAGCAGTGTTTTATGACTAACCGTGGGTGGATTGGTAGGAAGTGACTCCAGTTAGAGGTTACTGAGGAGGAATCAGAGTCAGTAAGTGTGAGGAGATGAGGTCTGGACAAACTGATGACCTGAGACAGGAACGAGTGGACCCTGTAAGAACTATACCAGTATATCCTTAACTGTTTTTGTGGCCCAGTACTGCCCTAGTTCATGTTTACTTATGACATATCTTATATCTCTTTCTAACTTGTTGGAGACCAATCCTGTAACTTATTAATTTTTATCCTTTAGCATCTAGCATGGTATCTGACATGCTCAATAATGTCAGTGTAGAAATAGTGAAGGATGACATTGATAAGACCAAAATGACATTTCAGGCTCACCTGGAAGATGAATGATGTCATATAAAAACTAAGAAAGTGAGAGGAGAGAGAGTTTTGTGGAGGGAAGATGGAATGTTTACCTGTGAACCTGACAGCACAAGATGCAGAGGGCAATTTCAAGTAGCCCATTGAAACCATAGTCTTAGAGCTTAGCAGAGAAGAGAGGGTGTGGAGATGGCAGAAGAGGTGTGGAGGAAGCCTGAGAACTGAGGAGCAAATGCACTTGGGTTCTGGGTACAGGCAGTGAGCTTCCTTTCCCTGGGCAAAATCTCTCACTAAATTCCCTGATAAGTGATGATGTATTTCATTCCAAAATGATGAAAACAAAAGTACACTACCTAAGGATTCATGCATGGGGATTATCTGGGGAGAATAGCTCCTCCTGTTTGATTTGATACATTAGAAGGCAGCCAGGCTCTAGGTGTACACAAAGGGGCTGAGGCTACGTCTGGAAAGGACACCTGCAGAAAGGAGCCCTGGGGACCTGGAAGGCCAGTTCCACAGATGTAGCAGTGACTCCCAGGCTCTGCTTCTCCACACATCGATGGGGAGAGACCTCCCAGCCTTCATTGCATGGACTAGCCTCAGAGACTAGCCATGCTCTTGTTTAGCTCTTTAAAGTTGATCCACTTGGGAAAGTGACCATCACCTATGCCTTGAAAGACAGGCTGGAAAGTCTCTGTACTTTATGAATGGGCTTTGAATGATATCTTCTGTGTAATGTGGTTCACACCATTGGATGAAACACCTTCACTGAAGCCTCTGCACGACCTCATCTCTCCTTTCCTGTCCCTGTGTGATATTTTTGTGCTCAGTCGTTCAGAAGTCTAGTTTATTTGATTTTCTCCTCCTCCTCCTGTTCCTCCTTTTAATGTTATCATAACCTCATAGGTTGTTTAATGAGATGTGAGGCTCTCTGAAAGGAAATTACAGATATGTTTCTCTGAAGAAGATTTTGAATTATACCCAAGTTTATTTATTTTTTATTTTGGCAAACTACAAAGTGTCAATATGAACTTAATGAAAACACATTACACAGCTTAGTTCCAAAGAGTTGTCATCTTTGTAAGGCTAGTTCTTTAGAGAAAAGCGTGTGTTAACTGAAATAGTTTCAGTGCCCCTATTCTCTCCCACTTCTCTTTTCTGAATCTTGATGCAATTTGCAATAGCTCTGCCACATAGTAGGTAATCAACTCTTGTGTACTGAATAGAGGGGGCTTAAACAGTGGTGTTTTCCTAGTCACTAAACCACAAGTACGTGCTACTTCTCAGTATTTAGATAATGGGCCTGCCTTGCCTCTGCTCTGAGCTAGTTGTCAAGTGCTCTAGTCCTGCTTCAAAGGGTTCTGTCTTTTTCATCTTGAATTCTTGTGATATAAGGTATAGTACATTGCACATAAGAGGTGACTGATGAAAATACTGTTATTCCTTATATTTTTTGGTGGATATTTGGAGAAATTTCTGTAGCACCTTTAACTGTAAAATAGAGGTTAAGTATAAATTTTCATAAAAGATTTTGATGTTTTAGGAGCCAATGAATTGACAATTCATTTCTCTTTTCTATACCAGAAGATGTCTGAAATGATGAGTAAAATTTGCCTCATTCTATTAATTTGAGCATTACATAAGTTTGTCTAAGTTTCTCTCACCTGTGTTCTTTCACAGATGCAAGCTCAGCTTGGAGGCCTGGTCAGGAGGCAGGGCATTCACTACCTCCTGCTCTTATCAGATGCCTTCTTGCTGAGAACTACACTTGTATCTTCCATGTTCACTAGATCTACTTCAATGATTAGGCAGTGTCTGGATTTTGGCTGAGAGATCCAAACTCCTGGCTGTAAGAAATAATTCCCTGGGAGGGGAAAAGTATGTTGGGTGATAGCATTGATATGTATATTCAAGAATTTATTTCTCACCAAAATCACATTACTTTACATCCATGGCAATTTTTTAATGTGGGCTTTGTCTCCTGGTTCTATAACACAAATGCTAAGTCACTGCTTTGGTTTGGTTCTTGGTTATTTGTGTATCATCAGGTATATGTTTCGTAGTCTTGGAAGGTTGTGAGGAGTAGGTGCCTGCTGATTTCTGAGGTGGTGGGACACTCAAGGCTTGGCTTTTCTTTCCTGCAGAACTGAAGCACGAGATCCATGTCTGGCGCCTGACTGCGCAGCGCATCAGCCCGGCCAGCCGAGAGGAAACAGCGGTTCGGGGCCTGCTCCTGGGGAAGGTGCAGGCACTGGAGCACCTGCTGGCCCGAAGGCTGCATACCTTTCACAGGTACCAAGCCAGGACCCTGCTTGGGCTACTCTTGGTTTATAGCAGTGGCTCTCAATTTTACCAGTTGTGCTCAATGGTTGAATTGTATCAATAACCTATTTACTACCACCCCCCACCCATGGTGTCTAAATGTCATACAATGTACAAGTCAAGTAAGTTAAAATGATGCTTCTTCAGAGTACTTCATGGTACTACAAAATAGTAACACTATCTTCATGCCAATGAAGCTGTGTAAGTCTCTTGTGGCACATTATTTTGTCTAGCCTCACTTAGATCTCTGGAATATGTTCTGGTACCAGCCCCAGTTTAAGGATGAGATAACTGAGGCTCAGAGAATTTGAGCAACTTGTCCAGGGCTCTACAGCTAGGAAAGAGTGACACTGGGGATTGAATCCACACTCAAGCACTGCCTGTCACACCTTCACACATAACACTTGTTCTATAACAAGAATCAAAAACAATTAATATAACAAAGAAATTAACAAAATACTCTCCCAGTAGTTGATTTTCAGGGACCTCTAAGTACTTAAGTCCTACTCAATTCATTTCCTGTCATTTGCTTTTAATCAAAGCTGATATGTAAAAATGAAGGGATGAATTTTTCCTCCAACTCTGATGAGGTGCTGAGTTCTAACATGACTTCAATTTGGGAGAGCTGATAGAAGAACCAGGAGCATATCTACCCTTCAGGGACATTGAATCATTACTGCCACAGAGCTGGGAGCTGGGCTAAAATGAGGGGTCTGTCAAGGCAAGGAAATGCAAATCCCTGTGAATGTAGTGTGAATGATCTTACATGTTGCAGTTTGCTAAAAGCAGCCCTGTATTCCTGGGCTGAGCTGGGTGTGGTGACTGTGCTGACCCTTGAGGGTCATCCAGTATGGTCTTGAAGCCTGTTATTTTAGTGGGGGCAGGGGGAAGGCTACAGGGAATGTGTGGAATCTTACTCTCTCCAGCAAAGTGCTGTCTCAGCTCCATCCTAGCCTAGGACCCACCTCCACCAGGTGGTGCTTGGGAAGCAGGACCTCATGTCCTGAGGCTCCAGGAGGGCCCTGAATTGCAGGCTGGGGACCAACTTCCACCACAGGCATAGATCTTAAAAGGAGAAACTTTGTAAATGAAAGATGCTGGCTCTGCAGATCTTGTTTGTATGTATTATTTTAAAAAACTGTCTTCAGGATTTGCCTGCGTCTGCTGTGATTTCCTTTAGGGTCTGTTCTGGCTGTGTAGTCAGCCTCTTTTGATACTTGTGACATATAAGTGCTCATAAAACTAAATTCTCCACAGTATAGCTCTTTTTACTGGTTAGTAGGGAAGAAAATAAAGCAGAAATTGTGGACTGTTAGGAAAGGTTAAAAGGGAAAGGCATGTTGGAACAAATGAGGGTGACTGAATCAGATCAGACGTTCCCATGACCAGAGGAGAGAGAAGCACACATAAGTTCTTTAAAATTGATTTCCATTGATAAAAATCACCACTAAAGCAAGTGGAATTTCTTTAATGTTTTTTCCTTTAATAAGTTTGGTTGTCAATATAAAATAGCTTCATTTTGAAAAAAAGTATAGGAAAATAGAAAGTAAGAAGAGAAGAACAAAAGTATCTTACTGTCATCCCCCTCGTTCACATTTTGGTCAGTATTCTTCTGACATTCCTTGTGCTCATGCTCACACATACACATGCTTGCGCACTTGCTTCCTTAACATTCCATTCATTTCCTGTATTACTTTTCTTCAGAAATACAGAAATATATTTTCCAATCCATAAACCCAAGTTCACTGGTCACCTTCAATGACTAGGTGTGCCCAGTATGTGGCCAAATCAGGCATCACTTAGTGCCTGGTATCTAGGCCAAAGGTCCATGCTAAACATGCGATGACTGCTGCCTTGCTGATCTCACTGCTCAGTAGCTCCAGGAAAATAATGAGACTGCCTTTTTCTCTTTTAGACAAATCTCACAGGAAGATAAAAATTGGGAGACCAATATCCAGGAACTCCAGAAAAAGGTACTGTGGTTTATTCTCTCAGGGATTTCTGAATCACCTCTTGCTTCACAAAAGTTAAGACTGAAAGTAATTTCTCTTTTTATTCCTATAGTTGTACACAAGACATGAGTTATTTCTAGGAATAAATAGGAAAAATCATTTTCCAGGCATGATAGGCCTATTTTGTCCTGAAATGGAAAAGTTAAAATTTTTAAATACCCTTTGAGATAGAGTGGCCCTTTCTATGGTTAATGCAGCTGCAGAGAAAGTTGGCTGGGTGCCTGAGGTTCTTGCAGCTCTTCCTGATCCTAAAAGGCAGGTCTTATGGTTCCCATTGTGTGGATGAGGAGATTGAGGCAGAAACAGATGAGGCATGCAGTGTGAGATGGAACAGCTTTAGGGACAAAGATGGAGTGTGTGGTGTACATTCTCTCATATGGCTCTGACTTCTGGTGGGCTGTAGCTTTTGAGTTCTGTTGCTAATTTTCCTGCTTTAACAGACCTTTTTTTTTTAGCCTATCTGAGAACACAGTGCCCCTCTCCTAGCTGAGAGAACTCTGCTCCAGATCTGCTGGGAGACATTTATATCTTTGTGAAATTTCAAATCCAGGTAGTTTCTTTCTTAGGGAGAGATTGATTACCCACTTTCTTATTATGATAGGAACATTTTGTCCCTTTATAAAGAAATTTAGGTATGGTGGTCCTGATGGGTAATGTGTCCTTTGGGTCTCTCTTCCCAATCTCTGCACCACTGAGATGGTTGGGGTTAGGAAAGGAGGGTGTGGCTATGACACTTTTCTGGGCCCCAGGTTTATGCAGATCCTGCTTGCTTTGCTAGACCATGTAGTGTTGGCTGTGAATTAGGGAAAAGATTGTGTATCTCTCTGTGAACGCGGTAGATGAGGATTGAAGAGAGGTGGAAGGGAAAAACAAAGAGCTTGTATTAAATGAAAGAGTTCTTACTGTGATAGCTCCAGAAAGGCAAAAGGAGAAAATTTGACAGACACTAAAAATAACAGATAGGAATACATTTTGGATCATTTCCGCTTACACCAGCAAAGTGATGCTGGAATGTTCTTTGATCTTCCTGCTCCCTCCATTCCCAATCCTAGAATTGCCCGTGGTGATACCTACGTTCTGTGATTAACATGGCTGCATGGAGGCTTTATAGTGCCTCCCCTTACAACAAGTGAGGGGCCATGCCCTTTTCCTCCTAATTCACCATCATAGACTCATCTAGCCAAACTGGCCTTCTTTGGAAGTGAGAAGGAGAAGATGAGTAGGGGCCAGTTGAGCCACAAGCTTTGGCAGTGGGTGGGGAAGGAAGAGATAATCAGGAGGTGGCCCACATGATTCGTGAGCAGGGGGCTAGGGACTGCAGACAGAGCCAGTGTAACATGTAAGAATATGCTTGCAGTTTTTATGACAGCAGCTTTAACTGTATGAGTAGAGAAATCCAGAGAGAAAATCTATACCTATACACACATCTATCTCTGTATCTCTATACCTATACCTGTACCATCTTTCTGTACTTCTATCTCTATCCATATGTATACCCATAAATATCTGTCACTGTCTCTCCCTTTCTATCCATATATACACATCCATGTCTATATCTATCTAATTCTAGATATACATAGACAGATGTGGTGGCAGGACCATACTTAGGAAAGGACATGGCGTAGTTGTCAGTTCACATGGTAGAGCATGATTCACATAGGGGCCTGTATGGGTAGGGCATGATGACCCAGGGCTCATCTGTGCCAGTTTTCCTGGATCTCTCTCCTTTCCCCAACTCCACACAGCTGTGGCTTTTGGGGACCTCACCCCATCTTACTCTGTGACTCAGGCCCACTTAAAGGAGGTATAGTACCTTCATTAACCATTTAAGGTTAATGAAGGTACTATAGAGTTTTCTGGCACCTCCCGTCACCCCTGAGTGACTCCACAGGCTACCAATGATGTCATATTAATGGCTATGAGACTGCCAAGTGTCTTCCAGAGTCCCTGTGAACATGAAAGGATATAGTAGGAGCCTTCAGCAGGAGTCATATACTGCATGAATATGTTAACCTCGGTGCCACCATGAACAGGGATTTGTGTAATAGAAGGAAAGTTGAATTAAAAGGATGTGAGCATGTAGCACCTGTGAAAATGTGTGGTCAGGTCCTTGGAAGTTACATGTTGTTTCCCCAGTGGTTTTGCCAACATCTAACCTAATTCTTGTGGTGTATCTGGGAGCACTTTCTGCATCATATTGATAAGCTATTTAGTCAGGTGTTTTATAAGAGGATTGTTCTATGCTTTAACTTTATTGTGTTTATTTTTTAATAAAGGTTTTGAATGCTGTAATTCCAAATCTGTAGTTTTCTTTATAATGCATCACCTTATCATCTTCTTTGAAGTTCAAGATGTTGTATTTTTCATCTTAAGGAGAAAGTTGTAGTGATTCAAGTCATGTAGGATGATGGACACATTGCAGGAAACAGAAGATTGTACCTAGTAAATGAGTTGTGTTTTTCTCTCTTATAGCACAGGATATCAGACAGGATTCTGCTCACCAAATGCCTGATGGTGTTGGGATTTGTTATCTTCATGTTCTTTCTCAATTCATTTGTTCCTGGTGTTCATCTTGATCTTGGTGAGTCTAATTTTTTGTTACCTTTTGTCTATAGGCTTTGCAATTGCTATCACAGTCTGGAAGGGAAGATTTCAAAGCTTGTTCCCAGACATTGGTCATGAGGGTGAGATGGAGGGTGGCCATCTTTGATAGCAAAAAGGAAACCTTTATCCACTACCTTTCCTTTTGTTTTCTGGAAAAAAGGGAGAGGGGGAGAGAGAGAGAGAGAGAGAGAGAGAGAGAGAGAGAGAGAGATTCCTCTCCAGCCCCTAGTGTCTTAGTGCATGGGTCCTCGGCCCCTCCAGGGTTTAACATTAGAAGAAATATGGAGTAGATATTATCATCTTTCTCATACTTGATAACCAGATCTTTAAACTGTTGCTTGAGAAGCACTTCAGAAGAGATGGGAGGTCAAATCAACAAGGTCAGAGTCCTACAGTTTGTGCAACTTGACATGAGGATTAGACGAGCACTGAAAGGGCCAGAGGAGTGCAAAAGGTCTATACAACCCCCTGTTCCCTATGGTGCCTCCGTTTTCCCCACACAGCAGAACCTGTTCTCCCACCCTTTCCCATATGTTTCTTGCTTTCACAGTGCTGTGGCTCTCCCTTTCCATTTCTCAAGCCCTGTGTCAAGGTTGTAGGGCCTGTTCCCACTTGAGATATGACTGTCTTGAAAATTGAGCTCACCAGATATCTTGTTAACTCTGGCATCTTTCCACTCTTCATCAATATTTTCCACATTCCTTAGGATTTTTTTTTTTTTTTTTTTTTTTTTACTGATTTAACAGTTCTCTCTATTGGTGCTATTACTTTTTAAATTTTTTTTTCAACGTTTATTTATTTTTGGGACAGAGAGAGACATAGCATGAACGGGGGAGGGGCAGAGAGAGAGGGAGACACAGAATCGGAAACAGGCTCCAGGCTCTGAGCTATCAGCCCAGAGCCCGAGGTGGGGCTCGAACTCACGGACCACGAGATCGTGACCTGGCTGAAGTCGGACGCTTAACCGACTGCGCCACCCAGGCGCCCCAGTTGGTGCTATTACTTAAAACAAAACAAAACAAAACCCAAACCACTTCCAAAATGTACTTCATGGTAGGGAACTTTAGAAGAAGGTGGCGTAGGAGGACACTGGGCTCACCTTGTCCTGCTGATCACTTAGATTCCACCCACACCTGCGTAAATAACCCAGAACACTGCCAGAAGACTAGTAGAATGGACTTTCTGGAGCCAAGCATAGACAAGAGGCCCACGGAAGAGGGTAGGAAGGGTAGAGAGGTGGTGTGCGCTACATGGACTGACAAGAGGGAGCTGGGGTGGTGGAGGGGCAGCCCACCCAGCAAGGTGGAATCCCCAAGTCTGGCTTGCAAAAGTGGAGGGTCTGGACTGCGTGAATTCTGACAGCCAGAGGGACTTAAATCTGGAATGTTATAAGTCAACAGCTCTGCTTGAGAGCGGGAGGGCAAGAGGACACCGGGAGGGAGAAGTTTTGAACCCTGGAAGACAGAGCTCAGCTCAATGGGGAACAAAGGTGTGAGCCAGTGCCATCTCCCTCTCCCATCCCCCAGCCAAAAACCCAAAGGGAACCTGTTCACCGAATGGGCACGGGTCGGCCTCTCTCCTGGTGCTGCAGGGCCCCTCCCGCAGGGAACCACCAAAGGCAAAGCGAGCTGATCCTGCCCCTCCCACCCCTGTGCACGTTGTGGATCCACCCCAGCTAATATGCCAGATCCCATCAAAGCAACACCATAAGCCTGGCAGTGTGCAAGAGGCCCAGACAGGGGCCACACCACTCCACAGTGAGTCCTGCCCCTAAGAGAGAGGAAGTTAAGGTACACACCAGTCTGACTGTGGCCCAGCAGTGGGCTGGGGAGAGACATCAGGTGTGACTATGGCCCCGCTGACCAACACAAGTTACTCCAGACAGCACAGGGGAAGTGCCCTGCAGTTTTGTGCCACACCAGGGACTATCCACAATGATGAAATGGAAGAATTCTCCTCAAAAGAAACTCCAGGAAGTAGCGACAGCTAACGAATGGATCAAAAATGATTTAAGCAATATAACGGAACAAGAATTTAGAATAATAGTCATAATATTAATCGCTGGGCTTAAAAAGGGTATAGAGGACAGCAGAGAATCTCTTGCTACAGAGATCAAGGGACTAAGAAATAGTGTCATAAAAAATAATATAAATGAGGTGCAAAATAAAATGGAGGTGACCACAGCTTGGATTGAAGAGGCAGAGGAGAAAATAAGTGAATTAGAAGATAAAATTATGGAAAAAGAGGAAGCTGAGAAAAAGAGATAAAAAAATCCAGGAGTATGAGGGGGAGAATTAGGGAACCAAGTGGTGCAATCAAATGCAACAATATCCATATAATAGGAATTCCAGAAGAGGAAGAGAGAGAGAAAGGGGCTGAAGGTGTACTTGAACAAATCGTGGCTGAGAACTCTCCAGATCTGGGGAAGGAAAAAGGCATTGAAATCCAAGAGGCACAGAGAACTCCCTTCAGACATAACCTGAAATGATCTTCTGCATGTCATATCATAGGGAAACTGGCAAAATACAAGGATAAAGAGAAAATTCTGAAAGCAGCTAAGGATAAACATGCTCTAAAATATAAAGGGAGACTGAAAAGACTAGTGGCAGACCTATCTACTGAAACTTGGCAGGCCAGAAAGGAATGGCAGGAAATCTTCAATGTGATGAACAGGAAAAATATGAAGCCAAGAATCCTTTATGCAGCAAGTCTGTAATTTAGAATAGAAGGAGAGATAAAGGTCTTCCCAAACAAACAACAATTGAAGGAATTCATCACCACTAAACCAGCCCTACAAGACATCCTAGGGGGGATTCTGTGAGTGAAATGTTGCAAGGACCACAATGTACCACAGGCATCACTACAAGCATGAAATCTACAGATATCACAATGACTCTAACCCATAACTTTCTATAATAACACTGAATATAAATGGACTAAATGGTCCAATCAAAACACATAGGGTATCAGAATGGATAAAAAACAAGACCCATCTATTTGCTGTCTACAAGAGACTCATTTTAGACCTGAAGACACCTTCAGAATGAAAGTGGGGAACTATCTATCATGCTACTGGAAGTCAAAAGAAATCTGGAGTAGCCATACTTATATCAGACAAACTAGACTTTAAATTAAAGGCTTTAACAAGGGATGAAGAAGGGCATTATATAAATATTACAAGGTCTATTCATTAAGAAGAGCTAACAATTATAAATGTCTATGTGCCAAATACGGGAGCCCCCAAATATATAAAACAATTAATCACAAATATAAGCAAACTTATTGATAAGAATGTGGTAATTGCAGGGGACTTTAATACTCCACTTACAGTAATGGATAGATCATTTAGTCACAGGATCAATAAAGAAACAAGGGCTCTGAATGATACATTGGATCAGATGGACTTGACAGATATATTTAGAACTCTGCATCCCAAAGCAACAGAATATACTTTCTTCTCAAGTGCACGTGGAACATTCTCCAAGAAAGATCACATACTGACTGGGTCATAAAACAGCCCTTCATAAGTATAAAAGAATTGAGATCATACCATGCACACTTTCAGACCACAATGCTATGAAGCTTGAAATCAACCACAGGAAAAATCTGGAAAACCTCCAAAAGCATGAAGGTTAAAGAACACCCTACTAAAGAATGAATGGCTCAACCAGGCAATCAGAGGAGAAATTTAAAAAAAATATGGAAACAAATGAAAATGAAAATACAACAATCCAAATGCTTTGGGATGCAGCAATAGCAGTCCTAAGAGGAAGATACATTGCAATCCAGGCCTATCTCAAGAAACAAGAAAAATCCCAAATACAAATTCTAAGAGCACACCTAAAGGAAATAGAAGCAGAACAGCAAAGACAGCCTAAACCCAGCAGAAGAAGAGAAATAATAAAGATCAGCACAGAAATAAACAATATAGAATCTAGAAAAAAAGGTAGAGCAGATCAATGAAACCGAGAGTTGTTTGTTTTTTTTTTTTAAATAAACAAAATTGATAAACCTCTAGCCAGGCTTCTCAAAAGAAAAGGCAGAGGACCCAAATAGATAAAATCATGAATGAAAATGGAATTGTTACAACCAATCCGTCAGAAAGACAAGCAATTATCAGGGAATACAAGGAAAAATTATATACCAACACACTGGACAACCTGGAAGAAATGCACAAATTCCTAAACATCCACACACGTCCAAAACTCAATCAGGAGGAAATAGAAAGCTTGAACAGACCAATAACCAGCGAAGAAATTGAATCAGTTGTCAAAAATCTCCCAAAAATAAGGGTCCAGGACCAAATGGCTTCCCTGGGGAATTCTACCAGACATTTATTTATTTATTTTTTATTTTATTTTTAATATATTTATTTATTTTTTTATTTATATATGAAATTTATTGTCAAATTAGTTTCCATACAACACCCAGTGCTCATCCCAAAAGGTGCCCTCCTCAATACCCATCACCCACCCTCTCCTCCCTCCCACCCCCATCAACTCTTACTTTGTTCTCAGTTCTCAACAGTCTCTTATGCTTTGGCTCTCTCCCACTCTAACCTCTTTTTTTTTT